TCGCTCTGTTTTCTTTTTTGTTCAATCCCTCCACCTACCCCCTGAACACCCCCCACCCCCCCCCAGATGTCTGCCTGCTCTCTATCTATGAGTTTGTCTATATTTTGCTTGGTAGTTCAGTTTGTTCACTAAATTCCACATATGAGTGAAATCATAGGGTACCTGTCTTTCTCTGACTGGCTTATTTCACTTAACATAATGTTCTCCAGGTCCATCCATGTAAATACTCCTTGTAATGCATATCTTGTGGCAAATTCTCTCAGCTTTTGGTGGTCTGGGAAAGCTTTTGTTTTTTTTTTCATATCTAAAGATAACTTTGCTGGATATAGTGTCCTTGGCTAATGGTTCTTTTCTGTCAGTATTTGAACATTTCCATCCACTTTTTCCTGTCTTGTTTCTACTGAGAAATCTAATGATAATTTAATGGGGTTTCTTTTGTAGGTTAGTCTTTTTGTACCCTAGCTGCCATGAGAATTCTTTTTGTCATTAATTTTGACAGTTTGCAAAAAATGTATGTTGGAGAAGGTCTTTTTTGCATTGATATAATTAGGTTGTGTTTTTAGCTTCCTCTAAAGTCCAGTTTCTTTTCTTGGGCTTGGGAAGGTCTCATCAATTATTTCTTTGAGTACGTGCTCTGTTCCCTTCTCCCTTTCTTCTCCTTTTGGTATACCAGTTATCCTTATGTGCCTTTTTCTAATGTAGTTATATAATTCTGATAGAGTTTTTCTTTAGTATGTTTTTATTGATTTTTTAGAGAGAAATGGAAACATTGATGTAAGGGAGAGACATTGATCGGCTGCCTCCTGCACACCGCCTACTGGAGATCCAGCCCGCAACCTTGTGCCCTGACCAGGAACGGAACTGGGACCTCTCAGTTCATGGGACCATGCTCAACCCACTAAGCCACATTGGCTGGCAGAGTTTTCTTTTTTAAACTCTTAGTTCTCTCTTTTCTTCCTCCTGGGTCATTTTTAGGTTTCTCTCTTTGAGTTCGCCATTGTCTCTTCCATCTAGACCACTGTATTTCCAGTGCTCCCTAAAGCACTCCTGAGTTCTTCAGCACTAGAATTTCTTTCTGGTTCTTTTTTATAGTTTTAGGCTCTTTCATAAAATACTTTTATTTATTGATTTTATTTTTGTGTTCATTGAACTGCCTTTCTGAGTTTTGTATATTTCCTTATATAGTTTTTTTTTTTCACAACTACAACCTTGAATTCTTTTTCTGTCATTTAAATCATAGTCTTTCATGACTTTGAGTTGTTTCTGTGCTCCCAAGTTACCTTGGTTGTTCATGGTATTTGATGGATTGTTTCTCTGTCTGCACATTTGAGGTAGTGATCTGTTTTCTTGTGTAGATACTGTTTTGCTTTCAACAATTCAGCAGGATTATAGCTTTCTTTTGTTTTCCAGTAGATGGTGCTACAACGCAAGATTTGGGGTTTTTTTGTTTGTTTGTTTGTTTTACCTGCGTGATTTGTGACTCTGAGATCACAGTGAAGTGTTGTTTTGGTTAAAGAAAGGACTGTGGCCCTGGCCGGTTTGGCTCAGCGGTTAGAGCGTCGGCCTGCGGTCCTGAGAGACCCGGGTTCGGTTCCCGCTAAGGGCATGTACCTCGGTTGCAGTTTGTCCCCGGCCCTGGTTGATCGTGCGGGTGGCAGCCACTTGATGTGTCCCTTTCACATCGATGTTTCCCTCTCTCTCTCTTCCTCTCTCTCCCTCCCACACTGTCTGTACAAAAAATGGAAAAATGTCCTCGGATGAGGATTAAAAAAAAAAAAAGAAAGGACTGTGTATCCAATGATATGGTGGTGCCCTCTCTGTGACCAGCTCGCCTTGGTTACGGAACACTGCCACGGTGTTGGGGGAATGTTGGGGGTGGTGGAGAACAGTGAGCTACCAGAGCTACCTTCTTTCTTCTCTATTTTTGGCTGTACTGTGCTCTGCCAGGGTGTGTGGAGAGAGGAGGCGGGTTTGCCATCTCACAGCTCTGCCCCCCTCTGCCAGTAATGGCTGTTAACTCCACTGTTTTGTTTCAGTTTTCCCAGCCACCTCGACCTGGTTCTGCCACAATATGGAGAGGGAAGGGAGATACTTTTCTCAGGAGGGAAACTGCTTCAGTCCCCTTATACTCCAGGCAGTAGTGTTAGGGCTGCAGCCCTCTCCTCCCCTGCTACCATACTTCTAGAGCCGTGGTGGGCACTGACCTGCATCTGTGGCATCATCCCTGTTCTTTCCTCTCCTGCCTTCACTGCTTGTTTCCGGATGCCCACCTGCAGGCATCTGGGTGCGTGGGCTTTTCAGGTGTTTGTGTGTTTAGCAGGGCATCTTTTCTTGAGGTATAATTGTTCGATTTGTTGTAAATTTACGGAGAGAAATAATGGCGTCTTCTCAATATTCCATGATGCTGACATCACTGAAGTCCATTTTTTTATAGAAGGCATATAGTTGGATGTTGTTTTAATCCAGGCTGACAGTCTCTGCCTTTTAATTGGAGTGTTTGGTTTATTTACATTTAATGTAGTTATTGATGTGGTTGTATTTGGTTTTTCCATTTTGCTGTTTTCTGTTTGTTGCATGTGGGTTTTGTTTTTCTGTTCTGAATTCCTACAAGTTATAAATTTGACAATATTGTTGTATACTTTTACTTGAGAGAATCTAAAATTTTAAAAAATATATAGTTTTTTATATACCTACTTATTTAATATTTCCAGTGATCTTTATTTCTTCCTATACATTTCAGAGTTACCATCTAGTGTCATTTCCCTTTACCCTTCAGAATTTTCTTTGGAAGGCCTTATAGTGCAGGTCTGTTGGTGATGAATTTTCTCAGCTTTTGTTTTTGAATGTATCTTTTTTTCACCTTCATTTTCTTTCTTTCTTTCTTTCTTTTTTTTTTTTGTTTTTTTCTTTATTGATTATAGAGAGAGGAAGTGAGAGGGAGAGAGATAGAAACATTAATGAGAGAGAATATCGATTGGCCACCTCCTGCATGTCCCCCATTGGGGATTGGGCCCACAACCTGGGCATGTGCCCTGACCGGGAATCGAACTGGTGACCTCTCGGTGCATGGGATGACACTCAACCACTGAGCCACACCGGCTGAGTGGGTCGCATTTTCTTGTCCTTTCCCTGTCTAGTGTTTTTTGATTGAGCACTAGATATTATAAATGATACATAGAGCTTCTGAATTCTGTTATTCTCTGAAGAATTTTTGTCTTAGCAGGTAGGTAATGTGGCTCAAGTTCCACACTTCTGTGTCCTCTGCATTGCCACAGCTGAAATCTCCACTCAGTTCTTTTACTTACCAGCTGCAGCTTTTTTTGCTGGGCCCCCTAGAATCTCCAGCCAAGAATTTGAACAGATTTTATTTGCAGGTTCACCCCCATGTAAATTTCTCCTTTTTGGGGTTTCCCCCATAACTTTCTGACTGCTCTGCCAGCCCTAACTCGGTCCTCTATTTGTGAGTGCCCTCAGGCAGAAAGCTGCAAATGTACAAAATTTCATCAGGTGACCTCCCCACCTCCCTCTCCTTCTTCTTCTTTCAAGAGTAGATTGTCTTCCAGTTACTGCTTACTTTTGAGCATTCTCCAGTGCCTTCAAATAACATTCAAACATTTTGCCCAAATTTTATCATTGTTATCTGTAGAAGTGTGGTGTGACCAAGTGCCCTGTCACTAGTGGAAGCCAGAAACCAACCACATAATCTTTTCGGACTTACATGCAAACTCCCCTCATCCTAAGCCTTGTTTTCGGGGACTCTGGAGGGCACAGGGCTTTTCCTCGGGGAGCCAGTTGCAGCCAGTAGAGGAGGCACAAGGAGCTCAGTGGGAGTTCTCGGTTTGCTCGAGCTCCTGTAACCAACTACACAGGCTGGGTATTTTAAACAACAGAAATCGCTTTCTCCGTTCTGGAGGCTGGACGTGCAAGATGAAGGTGTGGGCAGGTTTGGTTTCTCCTGAGGCTCCTCTCTCCAGCTTGCAGGTGGCAGCCTTCCCCATGTGTCCCCTCACATGGCCTTTTCTCCGTGTCTTGCATCCTGGTGTCTCTTTCCTTTCTCGTAAGGACATTAGTGCTGCTGGATCAGGGCTCCACCCGTACAACTTCATTGAACCTTAATTATGTCCTTAAATACTCTGGTTCCAAATACATTCACAGTGGGGTTAGGGCTTCAACACGTGAACTTTAGGGAACAGGAACACAGCTCAGGCTGTAACAATAATCGAGTGGGGCGGTTTGAGAGCAGGCAGGAGAGGCAGCGCTGTGGTAGGGGTGACATCGTCAGTCAGCGTTTGGTCGGTCAGTGCAGGGCGCCTGCTCTGCTCCAGGCACAGCATTGGTGGGCTGGGGCTTCAGCGAGGACACAACTAGCCCTCGTCCCCATCCTTGTGGAGCTCAAAGCCTGGGGGGACCAAAGGCATGTCGACAGACAGCGACATTGCAGAGTGATGATAAGGGACAAATAAATGGGTGCCCTGGGAGCACTGGGGAAGCGGTGCCCAGATCAAGTTAGGGGTCAGGGCAGGCTTCCTTGAAGGAGTGGGGTGCCTCTCTAAACGGAGACCTGAAGGGTGTGTTAGGAGCCAGCGAGGGAGAAGAGTGCTCGGGCCGGGCTCAGGGCTCAGGGCACTCTGGCCGCACAGAAGGAGGTGTAGTGGAGCTGGAGCTGGGGGTGTGGGAGGGGCGTGGTGAGGGCTAAGGCCAGAGAGGTGGGTGGGGGCCAGCTCCCTTGTTGGAAGGTAACTGTCCCTCTAGAGAGGAGACTCCTTAATGACAATAACCGAGCCTCCTGCAGCTCCAGGTCCTGTCTGACAGAGTGGGTGCATAGCGAATGTTGACAGGTGCCATCCGTTATGATTTGTGGGTGGAGGCTGAGGTGGGAGGTTCGGTGTGCAGCCACCTGGCCTCCTTGCTAAAGCAGGTACGGGGCCTGGAAGTTGCTGGATTCCCCCGGTTGCACCTGCCTCTGCACTCTGGGTCACGAGTGTGTTGTTGTCCTTCAGCCCTTGACAGCGAGTCTGCTTCCAGCAGCATCCGCTTCAGCAAGGCCTGCCTGAAGAACGTCTTCTCCGTCCTGCTCATCTTCATCTACCTGATGCTCATGGCCGTGGCCGTCTTCCTGGTTTACCAGACCATCACAGACTTTCGTGAGAAACTCAAGCACCCCGTCATGTCTGTGTCCTATAAGGAAGTGGATCTCTATGACGCCCCAGGTAGGGCCTGCTAGGACAGGTGTCAGGGCCCAGCTCTGGGGCATCTGTTTGCAAATACTCCCTGAGGTGCCTCTGCTCTCCTAGCCCCATGCTGGGCACAGTGGCAAGGGGGGAGGGGTCAGCAGTCTGTGCAGGGCACCCAGTAGTGTGTCCTGTGCAAAGGAGATGGGTGGACAGAGTCTGGAGTGGCCACTGCAGAATTGGGGTGGCCAGGAGCCGTTTGCACAGGGGCAGGATTTGAGCTGGGCTTTGACAGATGGGAAGAGAGTTTTTCTGGGAGGAGGATCAGCAGGAGCAAGGTGAGTGTGGGGAGGCTGGGGGTCTCTCTGGAGTGGCTGAGTCTAGCCTGGCTGGAACCAGAGGCCGGTGAGGAGAAACGGGAGGTACGGGTGGAAGGGAGGCGAAGCTCTCCAGAGGTGGGTGGGCTCTGCCTGGAGAGGGGCCCCGGCCGACCGTCCATACCTCCTGACCCAGCAGGCAGGGAATCCAGTCCCCGAGGGAGGCGTCATCTCTGCTCCAGGGCAAAGGGCTGGCCCTGGGCTCGGGGAGCCTGGGCATGGATGGGAAGGTGGGACCCCTGTGTGCTCAGCATCTGCCACCAGGATGCCCCTGAGTGGCTCTCTGATGGCCTGCTCCCAACGTGGAGCCAGTCTCAGGTCCCTTCTGGCTGGGGCTTCGTGACAAGGGTACAGGTCACAGCTCCTGGGCCCGTCTGCCTGTCTTGTTTGTCCCTCTTCCCTGCATGTCTGCTGTGGCCTCATTATCTACGGGCTACTCTGTGTCTGGTTTCCTGGTCTCTCCCAGCTCCGCCTGGGTCTGGTGCTGCGTGCTGCCCCCAGGGTTGCTGCCCTTGGGTTGGCATAGCTACGAGCAGAGGCGGAACGAGGAGCGTGGCTGGGAGAGGGAGGGGCTGCGGGAGGCGACTGGCGGACGGGAGAGACATTGTGAGGTCTGGGGACCCCACAGCCAGGCCTCTCAGTGGCTCTGCAGGTGGGTGCTGGTCCGCGGGGGTCGGCTCGGTCATGGAAGTCCCCTCGGAGGGGAGGGTTCCGGCGCAGGTGCAGGGAAGGCTGCATCACAGGCCAGGAGGGGCTTTCTTAGGGGGGCTTGTGCCCTTCGTTAGAGTAGGGCTCCCGAGGGCAGAGGACCTGGTTCCCACGCTCTGCAACCCTTTTCTCCTGCCTCCTCTGCAGTCACTCAGGGCGTCCTGAACTTAGCTGCTTGGTGGGTGTGAAAGTATGCGACATGAGTTTAGGGGTGTGGTCAAAGGTGGTGCCTTTTGACATTCCCTTTTCCGTCTGTGTCCCCAGGTATTGCCCTGTACCCCAGGCAGGCCCAGTTGCTCAGCTGTAAGCACCATTACGAGGTCATTCCCCCTCTGAGGAGCCCAGGCCAGCCCGGAGACATGAACTGCACCACCCAGAGGATCAACTACACGGACCCCTTCTCCAACCAGACCCTGGTAACTCTCTGGGCAGCAGGCCTTTGGCCCCAGCGAACACGAGGCTGTCCTGAGTGGGTCGTGCTGTGGCTAGCTCACCGCACTCAGCCAGAGTGACCCTCGGGGATCCCCTCCTCCCTGGCGGAGGAGGACAGGCTGCAGGGCAGGGCCGCCGTGTCCTGGTGGGGTGGGTCCCACGCCTGACTGCTCGAAGAAGCTGCCACGGTACTTTCTAGAATGTAGATTCCTCGGTTCTATGTGGGGCCAACTAACTCATCACTCCAGGGGACGGCCTGGGGACCCATATTCTGAAATGATGAGCCAGGGGACAGCAGAAGCACTGGTCGGGGAGCAGGGCCACGGCCCAGCCCGGCTGTCAGCAGCCTCGCGGCTCAGCTGGGGAGTGGACGGCGGGGCAGCGCCTGCGCAGGGCGGCGAAGGCGGGGAGGACGTCGGTGTTGTCCACACCTTCCCTCGCACGTCCCACGTCCTAGTTCCAGGAAGGACGGGCGGGGTGAGTCGGGTTCTCCAGACGGGGAAGGAAAGGCTGTAGGCAGAGGAGCTCTGCACCCTGACCGCAGGGAGGGCCAGTGTTCTGTTTGTGCCTCTGGGAGGCTCCAGTAGCTGGGTCTCGGAGGCTCAGATGCCCCCTAAAGGCTGGTGGAGGTGATGCTGTGGACAGAAGCAATGGCTGGATGAGAAGCCGGCTGTGGAACGGGACATGCCCTTTTTGGGTGACGGGGAGCTTTGAGTGGGTCTCTGTTGTCTGTGCACTGTTCCTGGAAGTACTACGATACCAGGTCGATGCATAGAGTGGACAGAGCAAGCTGGGGATGGTTTGCTTCTGGGTAAAAGGCCTGGACCATTCTCTAAGCTACGGGAAGGTTGGTTCCCCACTTGGGCATTGGGGCAGCAGAGGAATGGAGCAGAACTTGAGCCCACTTCCTCAGTGGACGGGGGGACTACCGGGAAGGAACCCCTCCCAGGACAGACACAGTTCCCCGCCTGCTGCTCCTGCAGCCAGCCCGCTAGGCCCGTTCTAGTCCACCTGACCCTTCCTCCAGAAATAAGCCTGGAGAAGTGTCACTAGACATTGACGTGAAACCAACAACATAAAAGGAAAGGACTGAGAGGAACAAACAGAATGGACTCTAGGATAGGGAAACGGAAGCTAATTTCAGTGAAAAGGAAAATGCTTTTTTAAAATTTTAAGGAAGAGCTAGACATGCGGTAGAAACGCTGCCTGTCTGGATTCCCCGCTCTCTGCTCGCTGTGAACCGCATGCTGTGAACCGCATGCTGTGAGCGTGCACTGTCCACGGCATCCTTCCTGTCGGCTCCCCTGGGCAGTGAGCTTGCTAGGAGTCTGCGTTGAGCAGGATAGTCTCCAGCTCTGGGTGATGGTTTGTCTTCAATTCCAGATGCGGCTTCTTGCTAAGAGCTATCCCCTCCCTGAGCACCAGGCCCCCACCCCAACCCATCCTGTGGCCCCGGCGAGGTCTCCGGGAAGCACAGGGGAACCCCCCGCCCCCCCCGCCCCGAGAAGGGAGGAATAGGAAGCACAGCAGCTGCTGGAGGCAGTGATGAGGCCCTGGGGTGGGACCTGGGAGATGTCCAGTGTCCTCCCTGGCCCCTGGCCTTGGCGTCTGCGAGGGTCTGCCCTGGTGGTGGTCCTCCCTGGCTGTATCTGGGGTGGGTGTCAGAAGCCTGCCCTCCCTGGTCCCACAGCTCTGGGCACCCACTTTCTGCAGTGAGATGTCTTCAGACATGTGTAGGCTTCGGGCTGTTTGCATCCGGCCAAGTTTACGTGGACGTGACCCAGCCGAGCATCTCATCTGGTCCTGCTTTGTCAGTCTTCAGGTTCTCGTTTGTTTTCTGGGCTCTCATGCCCTCAGTTCAATCTAGTCGATGTTGACCAGGTGTTGGCTCTGGCACAGTTAGGGTCGTGGCCTCCAGTCGGCAGGACCTGTGTTTCCTCCGCGCCCACCATATTTCCAGCGTCCGAGAAAAGTCTGTTTCTTTCTCTTGGGACAGTCCGAGTGTGCAGGAGTTGGCCACTCTTCCATCCCCTGGGTGTTGTCCTGGTCCTCCTGGCCAGCACACCCTGCTCCCAGGAGGTGAGAAGTAGCATGAGTCACTGCACATTCCAGGAACTGCCTCACATGCCCATCTGAGGCCAGAAATGAGGGGCCAGCAGGGCGACTGTTCTGCTAAAATCTGGGATTGAGGAAGCAGCTCTAGTTCTGCAGGAGGAAGTGGGTCATGGAAACGGACGGTGACCAGTCTCTGCTGCCCCTTAGCATGTCACGGAAAGGCTGAGAATAGACTGATGGACCGAGAGAGATCTCTTGGGATAATGCAGCAGTAATCAGAAGTGGAGTGACAGCATGAACCTCTGTCAAAAAGGAATTTCAGGTGCAAAGGGTTCAGAGGGTTTAATGTGGATAAGAGGTTCAGCTCCAGCGCTCTCTGCGAGGAGACTTCTCTGCAGAGAAGACTTAATGGTCATAAATCTATCATCATGTGCAACGCGGCACACCAGTTGTATATTTTAGGCAAAACCTGCTAGAAGTAAAATGTACCATCACTTTAGAGCATGTGTAACAAACACCTGTCAGAAATTCCCAAGTCGGGCAGACGGGAAGTGGGGATGCCGGTGGAGCGGCGCGGTGCGTGGGAGCGAGTGTGCGACATGCAGCCCGGAGGAGCGCTCACTCCCCAGACATCTCAGAGCACTGAAAGTTGATGGTGTGAAGGTATTTTTTCCCAAATTAATCTATCGGTCCAATATCATCAGTTAAAAGTCCCAGTGGATTTTTTCATGGAATTTAAGCTACTTTTAAAGTACAGGAAAAGACCATTTCTACAAAAATAGCCCCGCCTTGTTTGGGGTGGGAGCAGGGACATGCAGGGGCCCTGCACTGTCCAAGGTCACGGGAGGGGGGGGGTGAACCCACAGCAATCAAACCTGTGTCTCCATTGTGTGGGGAGTAGAGTCAGATCCCTATTTCACACCATATACAAAACTGTCTAAACATAATATGGTTTTAAAAAGGTGCTATAAAGAAACAGGAGAATATTGATATAATTTTGGTTTTCCTTAGCAAGCAAAACCCGGAAGCCATAAAAAAGAAAGATTTACAGATTTCACATCAAATTTGCAGCTGCTTATGACATAAGCAAAGTTAACAGGAGAGTGACCGAAGGGAAGAAAATCTTTGTACATGTAACAGATGGACGTTAATATCCTTTCTCAGCAAAGAGTTTCCAGAGCGCAGCCAACCAGGGAGAAGAGCCGACAGAGGCACGACCTGGGCTCCCTGAGCAGAGGGTGTGGCAGGCGGTCACCTCTGGGCCCTGCAGGCTCTCCAGGCCGGCTGGGGTCTGTGGGCCTGAGGGTTGGGGGCAGCACGCCGCTCCCCCACGCTGAGATGTCTGCCTTCGTGTCTCTGCAGAAATCTGCCCTGATTGTGCGGGGGCCGCGGGAGGTGAAGAAGCGGGAGCTGGTCTTCCTCCAGTTCCGCCTGAACGAGAGTAGCGAGGACTTCAGTGCCATCGATTATCTCCTCTTCTCTTCTTTCCAGGAGTTCCTGCACAGGTGGCCTGTCAGAGCCCCGGAGGGCTGTGTCCAGTCTGTCTTAGCGGCCTTGCACATCCCTAGGTGGGGGCGGGCGGGCGGGCTGCCTCAGCACGGCCGAAGTCCCGTCCTCAGAGCCCAGAGCGGAGGCGGTCTCCCTTTGGGCTCCTGCCTTGAGGTGGGGGACCATCCCTCTCCCCTGGGAAACCAGGAGGCGGAGCTTGGAGGAGGCGGGGTGGGTAGCATCCTGGCAGTGCCAGCAAAGAAGCCAGTTGAAGTAGGGGCTGGAGCGTGAGTGTGGCTGAGCGTGAGTCCTGCCGTCAGGCCTGATGAACTAGGACCTTTCTTCTCTGTCCTCCAGCCCAGACCCGGTGGGCTTCATGCAGGCCTGTGAGAGCGCCTACTCCAGCTGGAAGTTCTCGGGGGGCTTCCGAACCTGGGTCAAGATGTCGCTGGTGGAGACCAAGGAGGAGGATGGGCGGGAAGCGGTGGAGTTCCGGCAGGAGGTCGGTGGCACTGGGTCCGCACTGGGGGCGGGGGGACGACTCCGCCAGGGAGAGGGCTCTGCATAGGGTCTGAAGGCTGAGAATGGACCCATGTGGCAGCTCGCTGTAGGGAGCGCCCGCGCCAGGCCCTGTGCCTCTGCTGCAGCCAGTCCTCGCACCGAACGGGGAGCAGAGGCCTGTGCTGCACAGACTGTGCCGACGCCGGCGCCCGCGCCAGGCCCTCCGCCTCTGCTGCAGCCAGTCCTCACACCGCACGGGGAGCAGGGACCTGCGCTGCACAGACTGTGCCGACGCCGGTGCCTGTGCCAGGCCCTGTGCCTCTGCTGCAGCCAGTCCTCGCACCGCGCGGGGAGCAGGGACCTGCGCTGCACAGACTGTGCCGACGCCTGTGCCAGGCCCTGTGCCTCTGCTGCAGCCAGTCCTCGCACCGCACGGGGAGCAGGGACCTGCGCTGCACAGACTGTGCTGACCCCGGCCCTTCCTGCCCGGCCCTGGGCGCCCACCTAGAACTTCAAGCCTTTGCCGGGAAGAAGGACACTGGCAGCCTCTGAAGCGTCGCGGGCATGGTGACCCATTGGGACGCAGGAGTCAAACACTAGCTTTCTATTTTTAAATTTTATTTATTTTATAAAATACATTGTTTTTATGCAAGTTAGTCTTTTTTAAAAATGTTTTTATTGGTTTTAGAGAGAGAAGAAGGGAGAGGAAGAGAAATATCAGTGTGAGAGACACTGGTCGGCTGCCTCTTGTGCGCACCCGACCTGGGGACTGACCCGTAACCTGGGCATGTGCCCTGACCAGGGTTGAACCACAGCCTCTCAGCTCACGGTGCTGCTTCCCACAACTGCCACATAGGCCAGAGCTAGTTGTTTTTCAGAATTCTCTGTCTCTCTCTCTCTCTCTCTCTCTCTCTCTCGTTGTTAATTCTCATCCAAGTATGTTTTTTCCATTAATTTCTTAGACAGTGGAAGGGGGTGGGGGTGGAGGAGAGAGGGAGAAAGAGAAATATTGAAACATCAGTGTGAGAGACATCGATTGGTTGCCTCTCTCGTGCACCCCAGGCATATGTCCTTGGCTGAGATCAAACTCAGACCTTTTGGTGTGCAGGCTGATGCTCTAACCAGAGACACACAGGCCAGGGCTAATTTTTTTTATTGATTTTAGAGAGAGAGAGAGAATTGATTTGCTGTTCCACTTAGTTATGCATTCAGGGATTGATTTTTTAAAAAATATTTTTATTGATTGTTTAGAGAGAGGGAGAGAGAGAAACATTGATGTGAGCGAAACGTCGATTGGCTGCCTCCTGCAGGCCCCCTACTGGGAATTGAGCCTTAAACCGGGGCATGTGCCTTGACCTGGAATCGAACTGGAATTTCTCAATGCATGAGACGATCGATGTTCAATCCATGGAGCCGCACTGGCTGGGCCATGGGTTGATGTTTGCATGTGCCCTGACTGGGGATCGAACGTGCAGTCTTGGCACATAGGGACGATGCTCTAACTAGCTGAGCTACCAACCAGGGCTTTTATTTTTTATTTATTTATTAATTTTTAAGAGTTTGAGTTAAACAAACATGTCCAGGAGCAAGATCTCAAATGCTCCCTCTTTCTGTAATTTCAAATCTCATGTTTCTGTTACTCCTTGTTTTATAACGCATGTAACATTAGGACAGTGATGGTAATGTTACAGCACTTCTGATGCTATTGATATGTTGGGCGCATGCTCAGAAATTTTTCCTAATGGGAATTGGGATCCTAATGCTTTCAGCCCACAGGCCTGGAGCCAGGACATACGGGGTCTCCAGCTGCGATCCCCGTGAGAGATGAGAGGACTTTGGAAAATGGTGTGGCAGCGGGGCAGTATCGAGGGATGGGACACGGCCGTTTGTCAGTGACCACCAAAAGCAAGGCCGCACCCGCCTTCGGGGCATCCACCGCCGCGTGGCCCTCTGCCCGGATCCACACTCAGAGCCAGACCCCCCACAGGGGCGGCGGCGGGCCTGTGCTTCTGCCCTCTGCTCCTGCCCTCTGCTCCTCCTCGGAGGTGTTCCATGTGAGCCAGGCTCCAAGGGGCGCATTAGGAGCGGGCTGGGCTGGAGTAGAAGGACCCACTCCAGTCGATGGGGCCGTCATTGGCCAGAAGCCACGTGCTTGTCAGGTCTGGCCCTTCCTGTGCCTGGCTCCCAGGACCGCGCCAGGTGGAGTTTGGGGAAGGGCGTAGAGCCAGGTTTTTCTAGGGTCAGGCTTTTTTCCTGCCTTTGGATGTAACGGCTCCTCTGGCAATGGGTCCTTAAAATATTCCTCCTTTGTAAGGTAACTGTCATCTCCTGATTTTTTTTTTTTTTTTTTTTTTTTACTTTTTATTTGCTTTACTGATTTGAGAGAGAGAGGAAGTGAGAGAGAGAGAGAGAGAGAGAGAAACATCGGTGAGAGAGAACATCGATTGGCCACTTCCCGCATGCCCCCACTGGGCATCAGGCCCACAACCTGCGCATGTGTCCTGGCAGGGAATCAAACTGGCACCCTCTTAGTGCATGGGTCGATGCTCAACCACTGAGCCACACCAGCCGGACATCTCCTGAATTTTTATTCCAGTTTTCTCTGGGAGTGCCAAGCCCTTTCTTGTCTGGCTCCCTCAGCAGCTGGGGAAGAAGCTTCCGCATGTTCACCTCCCAGTGAGGTGCAACCTCGGTCCACCCAGGTTCTCCTGGTGGCCCCGACTATGATCTGAAACCACCGGAGGCCAAACCCCAGCCAGCCTCTGTGTTTTAGAATGTTTTCTGTGCCTTTTATTATAGTCCCCATTGGAAGTCTTTTGGCAGGACACACAAATGCGAACAAAATTTTAAAGTTTTTATATTGTGTGTTAACATTTTAAGATACTTTCATATTGTTGCTCCCTTTGATCCTCACAGGCCTCAGTGAGGTAGGCGTTTTGTCCCCGTTTTATGGGTGGCAGAGCAGAGGCCCAGTTCAGATGATGAATGCAACCCTCTGGGCTGGGGCTGAGCTGCTGCCTCTGGCTCCTGTCTGCTCTCCAGGACACGGTGCAGAGCCCTTAGGAATTACAGCCGTCCTCCCAGGCACACCCCACGTTCACAGGGAGTGCTCGGCGTGGATCCACGGCATACTGTCTCTGTAGACTTGAAGGTCACAATACTCAGCTCTTAAAGTATTTTGAAATTTAGGATTTTTGTGGCTTTTAATGGTGAGTCTTACACAGTACTTTGAATATGGTTCGATTGATGACAATCCAAAATACCTGTTGTACATCCCAGATCCTGTTCGTTTCCCCAAAGAACTGTGGAAACCAAGGTAATGCCTGGGCCCTGGTGCCAGTTTCAGGGTGTTGTACATGTGACATTCGGCTCCTCCTCCCAGGATGGTGTGAGGAGAGCCCAGGTCTGAGGTTGCTTAGCCATGCTTTGCTTTCCCGTGGCCCCGGCCAGGTGACACTGCTCTCTCTGTTCCTAGACCAGTGTGGTGAACTACATTGACCAAAGGCCAGCTGCTGAAAAAAGTGCTCAGCTGTTTTTTGTGGTCTTTGAATGGAAAGATCCGTTCATCCAGAAAGTCCAAGATGTGAGTATTACTGACGGTCGAGAGCAGACTCCCAGCCCTGAGGCCTCCGGGCTCACCCTTGCTGGCTGTCTCCCTCTTCCTCCTCTTCCCCAGCACAAGTATCTGACATTCACGTTTTGTGCCATTTGTGTTGATCTTGTTGTCTTCACTGGGTGGGGACCCTGTGAAGGTGGGGGCTCTGTCTTTTGTCCATCATTTATTTAGTGTCTAGCACAGTGCGTAACAGAGGAGCTGCCTACTAGTAATGTTAACGGAATGAGCTGAGTAGAAAGCATTAACACCCAGGTCACTGCTCTTTAGAAGCCATTCTCTTTAAATGGTCACCTGTAGGATAAGAACTTCTTATTTGTGATAAGTGAGAGCAGAAAGGTACAAATAAAAAATTAAGAGTATCAATTAATGCCAATTCTCAGACGGAAGGGGAGACTAATAAGACAACTTTGCCAAAGGAGCATTCATGAGGCGCCATGCACCAGGGCCAGTCCCGGATAACACTGGGTTTAGTTCTCCACCGAATGTCCTCACTGCTCATGGCTTGGGGAAGGCGTTTCTGAGAGAGCCCTGCTCAGGGAGGGTCTTTGTGATCAGACTGCTTCACTGTCCCCCACCACAGCTGATAGTGGGCTGGCAAGGCTCGTGCAGAGACTCACTGAACCGGGACTCGGTAGAAGAATAAACCCCTTCAGCGCTACACAGAAATCATGTGATCAGATATTTTTTAACCTATATTCAGTGAGAGATACCTAGTACGGGCCAGGGCTCAAGGCCTGCCTGGCGCTGTCACTCAGCTTCACAACAGTCCTAAACAGTCCCGCAGTGGTTGGGAAGTGACCCACCACTTTGCATCGGTGAACACCAAGGTTCAGGTTGTCTGAGGTCACCCTGCTAGACTGGAACTTAAAAGTGCTCTGTTTACCATGATGGGGAAGTCAGAATTCCAAGGTATGTCGGCCTTGGAGAGTTTAATATTTCCCAAGGGAGCCATCATGTGACTAATTCCAGATAGTAAATAACCACCAAAGGAGACAGTGGGATAAATATCTCTGCTCAAGGTGGGAGGAGAAGTTTGAGTGACTGTCAGATGGGAGGAAAACAAGAGGAGCTGCCCCTCTTATAGAATGGGTATAGTTTTGGAGAAATTTCTATCAAAGCTGGGTCATTTATTGTGGGCCAAAAAACTAAAGCTCAGTACTAAATATCTTATTTGTGTAGGGCTATTTTAAAAAACTGTTTTCTTTTAGAATCACTTTATTGTAGGGAGGGCTTAGTATTTTTCTTCTTAAACTGAACTATGGGCATTAAAGTATGAATGGAGTGTAGAGTTTTGACCATTTTAGAACCCAGGTGTTTTTTTTGTCACAACAGTGATAGTAGTATGACCTAAGAATCACAACGGAAGCAAACTAATAAACTTGAGTTGGTTCTGTTTTACAGATCATCACAGCCAATCCTTGGAACACAATTGCCCTTCTCTGTGGGGCCTTCTTGGCATTATTTAAAGCAGCAGAGTTTGCCAAACTGAGTGTGAAATGGATGATCAAAATTAGGAAAAGATACCTTAAAAAAAGAGGTCAGGCAACGAACCATATAAGCTGAAATCGCCTTGTTCATAGAACTGCCCACGTTAATGGAAGTTCTCATCACTTCCCACTTTGATAAACTGAGCTACCAGCAGCCCCGTGCTCACCTGAAGAAACGGGCCCTACTGGGAGGAACAGCCTGACGGAACAGATCCAGGACAACCTAAATGTTATTTAAGTACTTAAATTATTAATGAACAGTTCTTGACCATGACATATGAATAGGGTTTGCAGAAGATGGAATTAGATATATATCTGGTTTCTGTAGGTTTGTCAAAGCTGCCTGTCTTCTTTGGTTTGGTGTATAGTTCAGCTGTACATGTAACAGGATATTAAGGCTCTGCTATTTACCTTGGGTTTTCCCCGAGGTTTTTAAAGTGGATGGAAGAGGGTGTGACTATCCAGATGTGTAGTTCATGCTTTGAAACCTGTGCACTTTACGCAAAGAAACACCCTTATGTCTCTGGTATCATCTGCCGTTTACATCGTCCAGTCTCTGACAAGCTCTCTTATTTGTTAAATGAGACTTTTAAAGCTAATAGAGTAATTAGATTTCCTGTGGACTGACTAGCCACCTATCTGGTTAGAATTTTTGTTGATGCAAGTGTAAGAGTTGAGAGTGGTTAAAACGCAAAAGCACTAGTATGAATGTACAGAGTAGGTGCTCCTATTCAATGTATTTTGATGACTTCATTAACAAGTAAATAAAAGTTAGGTTAATACAAAAGGAATCAGTGTGCCAGTATGAATATCTGCTAGATCAATAGGCACCAGTACACTTGGATTCTGTGACCTCCAAATAAAAGGCGGTGGTGGTGTGAGCCCAGACTCTGAGGATGGATCTGGATTCCTGAGGTACGTCTTGACTGTATCCAAGGAAGGGTAGGGTGGGCAGAACAGTTGATGGGTGGTCAGGAAGAGTGATAGGTTAAGCCCCATGAATAAGCTGTTAACTCTACAAAACCGCCCATCTGAGCATTTTTCACATGGTAGCCATAGTTAAGGTTATGAAACTGTTTCCAGAGTTTTAAATTATTTACATGCTCTGCATCCAAAGAGGACTTGGTAGAATTTCCTAAATGTCATAACCTGCCTTTAGGTAACTCAAAGAGAAAAACTCAAATGTATGAGAAAAACTCAAATGTATCTCACGTTTAACTTAGCAGCAAGAAACTGTGTTTGTGGTTGAATTATTAAGTGAACTTGTGTAAAGAAATATTCCCTGCTGCTTCTCTATGGCATAAGAGCATGCATATTCAGACTTCGGCCTGGGTCTCATCTCTGGAAAATCTTACTGTAAGGCAAATGCAAAGCCAGGCATAAAAACATATATTAACAGTATTGAAGAACAGGTGTGTATTTGTAAAGTATCTCTAAAAATAACACACCACTTTAATATTACTTAATATTTATTAAATGTCTAATAAAATCTGTGAACAGCATTTTAGAAAAACTGCATTTTCTCTAGTGTAGAAAGTTGAGATCTCTCAATTGTGCTTTAGAGTAAGTAGATAATTGGAAAGAGCGTTTTTAGCTCATCAAAGAAAAGAAACAACTACTAGCTGCAGCCTGCCAAGTCCACTCTGGCTGCTCTTTAGTAAAAGACGTGCCTACACCTTCCACAGGGTAGGTGTGTTTAGCCCTAACCTTCACTTTCTGGAAAGGTGGGAGCTGCCTTTTGTGTGTTCTGCAGTAGGATCACCCTTCTACCTGCACCGCCCCCAACCTGCTGGCCTTGGGTTAGTGTGGAGGATCTGGCAAGAGCACCTGGATCTGGATGGCTCAGGTAAGGTGGCTACTTGAGAACACTGAAATATGAGCCATGTACTGAGAAGGAAGAGGTTCTCCTGGAGCCACAGAGCGTGGAAGGAGTTGCTTTTACAGTGTCCTAGGAACGGCGTGCAGAACCCATGGTGGAGCTTTTCAGGGGCGTGAAACGGTGGCATCAGACATCCGTTGAGAACTGAGAAGGCCTGGTTCCTGCTGCAGTCCCGTCCCTCACAAACAGTGCTGTTATCTATCATGCATTTTGAGATTTATCCTCCTGGGTCTAGTTTAATTTAAACTAACATTTAAGGTAAGTTAAATCCATCCTCTAAACATAAAGGGAAATGAAGATATATGCTAGAACTTAGAGTTTTATGCAAACGTTCTGTAAAACATATACTTTAGTAAATGGCCTAAACACTCAATTTGACACAATCTTCCTATTTTTTAGATTACATGCCACAACTTGCCTTAAAGTTTTCTATATGTACACGTATGTATATATGTAAATATATGTATAAAGAGGGCAACTCCTTCTGAATGCCTAAACTTAGAGCTGAAAAAAGCAATGACAAGATAAGGCAAAATACAAACATAGACTTTATTAAATGCTGCTCAATCCCCCATGAAGATCTTTCATTACAAAACAGTTTTTTCCACACAACTGCAAGTTAAGAGATTGGAATGGTACTCTGATAACAAAATTTGTGAGAAATACTTGACCAAGTAAAAACATACAAGACTTCTCTATAGTCAACCTTCTCAGAACTCTACAGAGGAGGCTACTGCATTTCCTTTAAATAAAGCCAGGCAGTGACAAAGAGCACTCCGCACCACCACATTGTGGACTCAAAGTCTCCATCCCAGGTCAGGAGGGACTGGAGGAAGAGCAGGTTGTGAGGACTGGAAGGGCCCAGCCTTCAGCCTTTGGGAGGAGGAATGAACTGAGAGGCAGGCTGAGTGTTCACCTGCGCTGCCTCCACTAGTCTGTGCTCATCTTGGGGGGGGGGGGGTGCAGATGAAGGGGGATATTCGGAGGAACAATCTGAAGAATCTGGTTTACTTTCCCAGCTTTTATTTATATTTTGTGCTTTAAAAAGCCTGGAGATTTAAGTTTTTGCTCAAATTCCAGAGTACAGTAATATTTCTAATGAAGGAAGGGTTGGGGCAGGTAATTCCCCCCATCATATTTCTGAGAGGGACAAAGGGAAGGGTAAGGATTATACCTTAGTTTTATTTTAGGAAATACGTTTTCCTAGGATGTAACTAAGGTATGCAGCAATGTGAAAAGCACATTATAAAAGGGAAAAATATACAGAGCAGACTACTATATCTATGTGCAACACAATCAAAATAGAATTCAAGTCATAATTCTTACCACTCCCATAATTATCTCACTCATATTATAGATGATAAAGTTCATTCATTTCTGTGAAACTTCAGATGTGACACAATCGATTAGACAAATGTTACAATATACTGTGGCCATGATACAGCACAGGGCTATGTTTAGTCCATATAGTTTTTCATTTACAGTTGCCAGGAAAAAATTGGCCTTTTAATTATACTGATGAGGTTTCATAATTTTTACATATTTCAAAAAAGTGTACAAAACTGCCTATCCAATAGCTGTGGGCAGGCTTTTTTTTTTTTTTTTTTATTCATCACTTGTATTGCTGAGAATACTGTGCATGTTGTAAGCACTGTTTTGCTTTTCTAGAGCTTTCTTTAGTTTTAGCTCCTCTAATTTTTTCCATAATTCTTCACGTTCCAATTCCTTCTTTTTCTCTCTGTAGATAAAGCAGAATTTTATTTCAGAACCTAAAGAACACACTGTTTGGCAGTTTGCTAGAAAATACATTATTCATCCACATTTCACTTAAATCCCTCTATTAAGGTGTTTGAGAACAATTACCCAGAGCACCTAATTACTCCTTATTACTGCCTCCTACATCTGTGTCTTGTTCTTTAAAGACAAAGCATTTAGCTTTTCAACACTGAGTGTTAGCTGCCTGTTTGTCATATATGCCCTTTCTTATGTTAAGGTATGTTCCCTCTATCATCACTTTGCTGAGTTTTTATCTTAAATGGATGTTAGATTTTTCTCAAATGCTTTTTCTGAATCTATTGATATGATCTTGATTTTTATCCTTAACTTTATGTGGTGTATCACTTTAATTGATTTATGGATGTAGAACCATCCCAGCTTCCCTAGGATGAATCCCACTTGATCATGGTCTATGATCTTTATAATGTATCAGGGAATTCAGTTTTCTAGTATTTTGTTAAGGATTTTTGCATCTATGTTCATCAGGGATACTGGCCTATACTTTTGTTGTAATGTCTTTGTCTGCTTTTGGAATCAGGGTAATTAATTAATGCTGGCCTCATAAAATGAGCTTGGGTGGCTTCACTAATCTTTTAATTTCTTGTAACAGTTTGAGAAGGATGGGTAGTAATTCTTCTTTGAATGTTTGGTAAAATTCACCTGTGAAGCCATCTGATCCAGGACTTGTTTGTTGAGAGTTTTTAAAATTTTTATTGCTGCTTTGATTTCATTGGTTGTAATCCGTCTGTTCAGGTTTTGTTTCTTTGTGATTCAGTCTTGGAAGATTGTATGTTTCTGGGAATTTACCCATTTCTTCCAGGTTGTCTACTTGCTGGCATATAATTGTTTACAGTATTTTCTTTTTTAAAGATTTTTAAAACTGATTTTTAGAGAGAGGGGAAGGGGGAGAGAGAGAAATATTGATTGGTTGCTTCCTGCATGCCCCTACTGGGGGTGGGGGAGGGGGATCAAACCCACAACCCAGGCATGTGCCCTACCAGATTCCAACCAGCCACCTTTCACTGCATGGGACAATGCCCAACCAACCAACTGAGCCACACTGGCCAGGGCCATAGTATTTTCTTATAATCCTTTATATTTCTGTGGTGTCAGATGTCACTTCTCATTCATTTCTGACTTTATTTGGGCCCTCTCTTTTTTCCTTGATTCAGTTAAAGGTCTATCAATTTTCTTTTCCTTTTCAAAGAGCCACCTCTTGGTTCCATTAACCTTTCTGTTTTTTAAAAAACTATTTCTGCTCAGATCTTTTACTATTTCCTTCTTTCTACTCACTTTGTATTTTGTTTGTTCTTTCTCTAGTTCCTTTAGGTGTAAGGTTAGATTGCTTATTTGAGATTTTTCTTGTTTTATAAGGTTGACTTGTATTGCTATGAATTTCCCTTAGAACTACTGTATTCCCTAGGTTTGGGGTCTCAGGGAATCCTTTTTTCCCCCTTGATCTTGTTAATCCATTCATTTTTTAGTAGCATTTTATTTAGACTCTATGTGTTTGTTTTCCAGTTTCATTCTTGATTTCTAATGTCATACCATTATGATCTGAGAAGATGCTTCATATTATTTCAGTCTTCTTAAATTTACTGAGACATGTTTTATGGCCTATCATGGAAAATGTTCCAGGTGTACTTGAAAATAATGTGTATTCTGCTGCTTTGAGGTGAAATGCTCTAAAAAGATCAATTAAATCCATTCGGTCTAACGTGTCATTTAAGCACTGTCTCCTTGTTTTGGATGATCTATCCACTGATGTCAATAGGGTGTTAAAGTCCCCTATTATGACTCTTACTGTCTCTTCCTTTATGTCCATCAATATTTACTTTATATATTTAGGTGCTCCTACACTGGATGTGAAAATGTTTACAAGGGTTATATTCTCATTCTGTATTGATCCCATTATGAAATGTCCTTGTTGCAGCCTTGGTTTTAAAGTCTATTTTGTCTGCTGTCATTATTTGTATGAAATGTCTTTTTCCATTCCTTTACTTTCAGTCGGTGTGTCTCATTTGGTCAGAAGTGGGTTTCTCATAGGCAGCATATGTATGAGTCTTGTTTTCTTCTCTTTAGCTACCGTATGTCTTTTGATTGGACCATTTAATCCATTTACAGGAA